CTACCCCAGGGACAATGATCAACACATTGGTTTCTATATGCTTCCTCCTGTTAGGTATCCGGATGGTAGGAATGAGAATATTATTTCTATTAGATGAACGATTTTTTCATGACACATTTAAATGATTCACAATTATTGAACTGGCTTTAAAAACGCCATTATCTTTACGGCTTTAAGGTTTATTTTTATATATTCGTAGTTGGTATAATTGTCTTCAATATTTGACAATTCATTTATCAAAACGATTCATAATCTGCCAGTTTTGCTCCTTGCCAGTATTTGTTGACAACGGATAATTCACGTTAATAACTTCCTTTTCTCCAGTAAGTACGAAAAGATCTCTGTACACAAAATGTTCACATATCTCATGTGTTTAGTAATGTTGATACCCATACATTGCCTTCATTTCCAGGAAAATACTACATCAAACTTGGACATGCTGATGCTATTTTGAAAGGTCCATTGAAAGTTTCTGAAATACAGAAATGGTACTGTGGGGAAGGTGACAGGTTATTGGAAGAGCAAATGTTCAATCTTCTAAAGGGAGTATTACCAGGTTAAAGTATTGATTTGACATTTCTTAGATGTGATACTATTCATTATTTCATTTAAGCAATTAAAAGACATTTTAATTTTGAATTACGTTAGAAAAATAAAACAAAAAAACTTAGAAAACGAAAATCTGCCATTCTCTCATTGTTCTTGGTTTCAATCTTTACAGAAATAAACTTCCTCAGTCACCATGGCGACGCGTGTGTTACTATGGTTACGCCTAACTCACGACCCTACATTGATCTGGTCAATCCGACGACAGGCGTTGTTATTGGTGACAATGGATGGTCGGCCAAATCCAGTGATGAAATCGGACGTATTGCTGCTCAGATGATGATACAAGCCAACTGGTCGTATGACCTTCCAAAAGATCTGTTTAAATTGTACACTAATCTAACAGGTCCACCATCACAATCAAAATTGTGATTCACTCCATGTGCATAATGATATATCTTATTCTAGTAAATCTTATCTATTTCACTCACATCTAACACATAAATACACACAAATTTTGCTATGGCGTAACTTTTTGCTGTACTACTAACTTATGTTTATATGTTGCGCTTTATTTAAAAGATCAATACATATGCAGATATATGCTTGGTATTTACTTAGATGTGTGGGAGGAAAGGGACACAGGTATTATGTACGTGTTTTCGTATTTGGTTTTAGTGCTACTTGTAAAAAATGAAAACAGTCCAATTTCTTGTAGTGGCAATAAGAAAGTAATCGAACACATAAAAAACACAGCATGAGTCGAATAAATCCAGCTACGGTATTGTTACTATAAACAAGCCTTTTGTCAAAGTGGACATCGTGTCAATGTTCCCTGGCAGTTGCGTTTCAATCAATTTTTAAAATAGAACTTCTAATTTATCAGAGCACGTTTGTGTTTTCTTTTTTAATCATCATATTTACAACATACAAACTGAGATATACCAATGTGGTTAGTTCATGTGTATTAGGATTGCCTTATACACGATTTCCAGTTTAGAGTCGTATATAAACTAACATCAGGTGAAGAGAGACTGTTTGATAAAGACTGTGATTTGATTTTCTTCATTGTGATTTCATTGGGAATTTTTTGAATGCATCTCTTCAGGATGTAAAGCTTGACGTGTACTATTATAACGGAATGTTGTGTTGTTAATGTTTCTGTTTTTATTTAGAATACGTAACGATGATTTAATTTACCTGACGAATGTAGTCAATAAAATAGAAGTCGAGAAGCTTTCCATAGCGTCCCGTCTTATTCTTCTTTCCCGTTTTCGAAGACACGTATTTGCATTTACTTTGATATATCTGACGAGTGTAATCGAGGAAAAATAGATTGCTAATCTTTCCGTAGCATCTGATCTTATCCTCCCTATCAATTAAGGAGATACTTGTTTGGTTTTACTTAGATATGGACGAATTTAATTGAGAAAAAATATATCTGATACATTCCAATAGTACCTGGTCTTATTCTCCTTGTACTTTTCCAGTGATGCATGTATTTCAATTACATTGATTATATTTGATGAAAGTTGTCAATGAAAAACAAATGGTGTTAATCTCTTGGTGATAATTGGTCGTAGTCTCCCTGGTGTAGATATGCCATTTGTGTAGATGTTTCCTCTCTGTTTCATTTAGAAACAGATAACATAAATCGCTTGATCTGCGATTGAAATAAAATATGAATGCTAAAAAGAAATACTTTATATTCCATCTAAATGACAATCCACGTTGTGCATCTATCACATATTTTTTGTATATGTACAATAAACCATACTCAAACTAGTTGATAAGTTGTCATAGAGACATATATCTTTTACACAATGTTACTGACAAAAAACCTTTCAAGGTATATACATGTAGCACAAAATGAAAACAACATTATTAAATAACCATCAAAAAGGTTCAATATAAACATTTCAATTAAAAAATAATAGCTTGAATACCTGTATACACTAATATCTATCTTAATACAAACTTACTTTATTGATACATATAATGCTGTTAAATAACGACATTACTTTCACATTGATGCAAAAAGTTGACAGAAAAACAAATTAAAGATCCCAGTCATGGCGGCAACCGCTCACTTCTGTTTGGAAATAAAGTCGTGATTTCCCAATCATAACCGGATTGATACCAGTTTATTTTCCATTGCCATATATATATCATATTCAAGGAAGGAATCTTAACAAGCATAAATATATGTTTTTAAACAAGAAATAGACGTTAAAAAGAAAGCAATATAAAAAAGTGCAGGAATATCGTGATACTGGCAGTCTAGACGTATAAATGTAGAATGAAAATTGAAAGGATTTGCAACAAAACTAAAACAAAATAGAACAGCATACCTTTCATAAATATATCTCATAGTTTTTCCCCAACAAAAAACATACAATAAAAATTAATGTAATCTGTGGACCCTTTAGGAAAACTCACACTGGTATCATCAATACCGTCACAAAGTAATTAGCTGTCCTTTAATAATTCAGACGATACGTCAAAAAAAAAAAAAAAAAAATGAAATGGAGGACAGTTTTCTTTTCTTTATTTGTTCTTGTATTGTCTTAATATCAAATAAATCTACAATAGAAAAAATATATCATGATCTGTCACAAACATGGACACCTATACATTCGCATTAGAGAGTAAGTTGCAGACATGAATCAATGAAGCCCTCTAATGATACACTTCAGGAATGGATTAAATTAATAAGCAAATAGGATAAAACAGGTATAAAAACAGACTGAAAATGATTGGTATAATAAATATTGATAACTCAAAACAAAAGTACATACCCATTTTTATATTTGTAGAAATTTACGTATAAGAGACAGGTGTCATATCATATCTGTATCCCCTGACGGGGGATACAAATATATTTTGACACCGGCAATCAAAGTTTGAATTTCTTAACAGTACGAACAATTTGTTTCCAACATTACGTTCTACTGTTAAGTATAAAACATCACCTTGATATATCATTTTTATATATAACTATGTGACTTTACAAACAGAAATATTTGGATATTAAATCACTATGTTCCATATACCAGCAGTAGTTATTATAAATCTCCCTACCTAGGTAATGCAATTTTGATATTAAATATAGTTAATACGCTGTTCTTACAACATCACCCTTGTACGTGGCATGCTGTAGTTTGCACAGAAAACTACCTACCTCAGATATCAAGTTAATCAAGCTTATGAAGTCACAGATGAACAATGTTTTAGAGTAATTTGATAATAGCTATTGGATGAGTTGAATTACACAGAATTCTAAATGTGTATAATGTATAATTCGTACCCTTTATTAGACAAAATGAAATTCTACCGTAGTGGATAAAGTCCTGTCTATCCTGTTTTAAGAGATGGAAACATTATATATACGTATATAACAGGACATTGGTTTTACTACACGAGTTAAGTAATGCTGGTCAGTATCTAATAAATCACTAACATGTCGTCTTTATGACCAGCCAACGATGACTGTACCATGTAATTTCTCTTGATGTTCACATCAACAAACTGACTATTAGCATATTTGGAACCTGCTACTTCTTACGCGGAAATACTAAAGATTAAAATTGCCTCCAAATACACATAATCAGGATACCATCTATCATGAATGTTGACGTTTAGCGCCAAGCAGTTCTACATTCAATGAGTTTGTGTATAAACAGACTTCACATCCCCGAAAATTTTTTTTCGGAAGCTTGTTGTATATAAATTTCATATTCAGGACATTGCAAAATGAGACTTATATTTCCATAAGTGTTCATACTAACATTAAATCTTCCAATTAAACTTGTTGGCATCAACATTGCTCTTTCACGTCCTGGTCTGATTTCGAATGTGGTCATAATCTATTCAGGTAGAGCTGCTTTAGGCCTTCATGACGTTGCTGTTAATTTGCATTGCTTCTTTGTCAGTCAGAATACCATACGTCTTCCGGAATTTATAATAAAAGCCTTGCCCAAACCAACCACCAACACATATAGTCAAAGTAAGGGCTATGGTGACAGCATGTAGTGCGATCAGGAGGTCGTTCCTGGTTGAGCATCCATTTACTGCACACATAACGGTGCCGGCGATAGAATATCCAACGCCTTGGGTGGCTAACCAGTTAACAGTATTGCTGGACCAGAAGAATGCAAAAAACTAAATAGACAAAGAAAAGAAAAAATCAATGAATATTATAGATAAGAAAAATGCATTAAAAAACAAAAATTAGAATAGACGCAAAAAAGCAAGATACTGAAAAAAATATTTAATTTAGCAGATAATGTAAATGTAAAATGAAGCATCATTTTTGTATTTATCAAATTTACAGGACTATCAGAGTATATCCGACGCTTTGGCAAAGAAGAGATAAGGAAATTCCAGACAGTGGGAAAAAAGAGAGTTCTGAATCTCAACAATGATTGTTATAGATATGTATTTATGAAACCATTTCATTCGACCAAATGATATATTTAACGTTGGCAAAGAAGAGATAAGGAAATTCCAGACAGTGGGAAAAAAGAGAGTTCTGAATCTCAACAATGATTGTTATAGATATGTATTTATGAAACCATTTCATTCGACCAAATGATATATTTAACGTTTTGATAGTGAATGAAAATTAGAAATTATTACTATTTTTTTTTTTTTGGCTTACATATAAAAAATCTGACCTGGGAGAAACAACCGCAGCGGTAAATGTTTTTTATTGTAATATCACCTAATAACATGAATGACGTACCATTTTTCTGAATTCACAGCTGACGGTTTCTGCTCTAAAATCCTCAGTCATTGCTCCAAGTTTTATTCCGAATACCGCAATAACTATTCCCTGAAGAAAAAGAATTTATTTTAAATGTTATATCAAAATTCAATAACATTACATCTTATTTTTTTTTTCCAAAATAGCATAACTATTTTTTTATTAAAATATTCAACATATCTGAGAAAAAGAACATGCACATATGTCTTTTTAGAATAGAAAAATCATTATATTATTATAAAAGATTTATTGAAGCATAACCACGCCTGAATAACATTTCCTTGTATTTAAATATTGTTATACTTCCTTGTGTATTCACTGAAAACATAGTTTTTAATGGTTAATGTAATTTACTTACTAGTATACCCGTCCATATTTGATATCCGCTTGACAGCGGGTATTTATACGTGTTCAGAAAAACAAATATTACAATGCCGAGAATAATGTTAATGATACCGGCTGGTAACAATATGTAGCCTACATAGCGAGGAATCACCAATTTATCCACACGTTTCCTATACGTCTCTTCTGAAAGATATAAAGAAAGGCAAGAATTATTGTACCACAAAACAACGAATCAAAGTATCATCATTTGAAATTTATCTTATCGTCAACACCGAAAACTTTCATCAGTTCAAGTCGTTAATCTCCACTATCTGACCAATATAGTATACGATGATTGACACTAATAGTATTTTAGGGCTAAAATAATTAAGGTTATCAACGTTTATCGCTTTATCGTATATGTCGACATGTTAGAAAAGACGTCAAGATTTTAACTTGTTTCGCTCTCTGTATAAACAAGCAGTCCCCACACTTCAGAAAAAAAACACATTTAACAATGATTTGTGAGCGAAAGGAAAGAAAACAATTTTTTTTTTAACAGGAACGTGGAGTGCCATTGGAAAAAAAATCGCAAATCGTTTAAAAATGTTTCCAAATGAATTTTCAAGTTTTTTTAAAAATAAAATTACTCAATTGACTCAAATTTAGAAGTTAATCTATACAAAAAATATAATATTGTAAAATAAATTAATATTGTTAAAAATGTCTTGTTTTATCATTGAACAACACATACAAGCTATATATGACCTACATATGTGTAAATCACTTTATCAAGATGTTCCGTTTTTTTTTAATGAAAACAGTGCAATGCTTTACGTTGAAATCAGTTTTAATGCTAATACTTGATATTCTTTGAAATAATTATTTGATCAATTGAATTTTGATGTACTCTTTTTTCCGGTTTCTGACATTAATGTTGATCCAATATAGGCTGTTTTCAGTCCCGGGTTTTAAACATTTAGGCTCTTAGCATCACTGCCGAGAACTAGAAAGACAAAACAGCTATAGGCTGCAGTTAAGGTCATTTGACTTTAAGTTATTTATTTCTAAATTTGTATCGTAATATACCATAGACTTGTGCGTCTTTTGTACAACATCTCAATCTGTATTCCTACAGCTTTAAGAAATAGTATCAAATATTCCTGTATATATATTTGCATAGGTAAAGTGGTAAAACATTAACTAGGGAGTCATCATTAAACAAATACTTGTTTACTAAATGGTGCATTATTCTGGAAAATCAACCGAGTATTATTACAGAAAAATGAGTGTCTGTATTACAAGGCAAATGTGTATGGTGTGTTAAACCTAAGTCGCCTGTTATACAAAGTAGGTCAGTGGGATTTACTGGGGTCAAGTTTCAACGGATATTTTAGGACACTGAGGTTTGCGTATGACTGTGTTGTAGATATCATGATCTTCATTCTATTACTTCAGTTTCTTCGGGTTTTTTTTCATTGTATTTCGTGAATTTACATTTTGACAGTTATTTTCATCATTGCTTTCAGAAAAGAGCAAATAGATGCAGACTTTAGCGTAGTGTACAATGTTAGATTATATAAAACGAGGGCTTGATTCCAAAGGAAGATCTCTAAATGCCAACATATTTTTTAACAATAGGGCAGTTTTGATTCAGGAAACAATGGCAAGTCAAATATGTGTCGTATATTTAAGCTGTCTCCCCCCGCTCCCCCCCCCTCCACAAGGGAAATAAAAAAAAATGGGTATACATGGTATTCAGCGATACATCCTCCGAAGGTACAGTAATGACTTCCGTACACAAACTGATGTGTGATCATGAAACAGTTTCAGAAAACATCATTATGATTATTATATAAATTGCTAGGTATAATGTTGGTAGAGTTTTGTCTACAGGTAAAACCTAATAGTTTCAATTGTAGCGTAGCAATATTATGTCGCCATAATGCTGAAAAAAATGATACAATTTCAGTGTACTGAATTGTAAACGAAACCATATTTACGAGAAACGCAGGAAACATAGTTTTTGAATGCTGTGGTCAGTGACCTTATACTGCTGTGCCTATCTCTAGAAAGCGCACACACACATGCATACCTAAGTGAACACATACACGAAACTACATAGAAAATGAGGCTAATCGATTTCATACTATTTAACTGAAATGTGTAATACAACATATTGTGAACCCCTGGATGTGATTATTACACTTTTTTCTGTCCTTTTGTAGTTTTAGTACACAACCAAAATCAAAATTTATAAATCCTACTACTTTGAGTACAATGTACAGGCTACTTAAATATCATTTGAGCCAAGCAGGTATGTTGGTGTTCTAAATTTACTTGGTTATATTATCATTTGCATACAGATATTAAACTATACAAACCATCTACTTGTCTCGTGTCACCAGCACCATACATGTTGAAAATTCGTTCCTGTTGTAATCCAGGGGAAACAGTGCTTAAAGAAATGGATTTTGACTAATACACTGACACGACCAGCTTTATATACATCGGACTATACGTCACGACCAATATCAACAAAGCGATCGTTATATACGGTGTCAGTAAGGGGAACACGGTGTAGCGGTATGGAGACCCAGAAGTGCCAGGATATTCTGTCGTTGTTAACAACAGTGAAATCTTCAGTAAATCAGCACATCTGGGTGTTAATGAGAATCGGAGAAATATCGACACAAGACTGATTCCAATCTAATTTAATCTAATGTTATTGATTTATCTAATATTTTATCAAAAGTATTCACGATTACATTTAACGTTTGGCACTACTGGTATTTCATAGATATTTGCCATCTACCCAACTCCAATGTATTTCGCAATGTTTTGTGTGTTACAGGTACACTTTAACTATAAATAACACTGGTTTTTGATGTTAAATTTCAACAAACGTTTATTTCACAATTATATTAACCAAAATGACTCATAATCAATACGCAGGAAGGTAACTATTGTACTACTAAAATAGTTTTGAGCACCTGTGAAAAGACTTAATCTAAAATTGACCCTGAAAATATACTTTTTGTATTTTGATATTACATATGGGAAATTATACTGGAAAATACAAGTGATACAATAATTCATAATAAGTATAATAGTCAGCTGTAATCTGAAATATTATGCAGTATTTCAATCCTCAAAACCCTGTTTTCAATTTATTTGTAATAATACTAGACCGTTGTTAAAACAGTATAATCAACTATCATTTACCTGACACAAATTTGTACAATTAATATATTCCACGTGTATTTTATAATTCATAACTCCACTGAACTAATAAACAGTATCACTTTGTTAATGTCTAACACTAATGTATCTATAACGTTACGCAAGTTGATATCATTCTCATCTAAAACATGTATTAAGTAGCAGGATACACTAAATTTGCATTTTTTCTAAAAGTATTGGTCATGTTTGAGATATACAGGTATGGCATCATTACAGTGTATATATATATTTATAAACTTCATAACGATTACGTTAATAGTAGAGAGATAAAATTTATATAAATAAATTTCCTCTGACTTCTGACATGTGATTGTCATAGTTACCTACTGAAAAAAATGCTAAAAATGCAAAAAATACTGCTATTTACAACGTAACACTACAACTTAATAGAAGAAATTTATTTCTAAACACCTGTCTTAAAATCAACAATATTGTCATGGTAACAAACAACTTACATTTCAGTGAATTCCAACTCGGAAATCCTTTACAACATCACCACGTCTAAATACTTTGAAAAATTTCACTTTTAAAGCTAGTTTTTGGTGCTTAGACACAGATTCGAGAGTGCCCAAACAGTAATCTCCAACACAAAGCTAAAATATAGTTCTTAAAAATAAGATGAAACCTCGCATTGTCCACTTCAGTATGACAAGACCAATTTTAGCAAGGATTTTTTAAAAATTTTAATTAAAACCGTTATAATGGGGTTATCTAATGAACAAAACTATCACCCATGGCCAGACCGAGAAACTGTGTTCCGCTATTTTACATAAACTCAGGATAAGATATATTTTAGTTAACTTTTACAAATGATGTATAGACTTCCAGCCATGTTGTATACTACAAACCTGAGACGAACGACTTCCAAAATTTGATTCATTCACATAGCAACACCAGCTTCTGTACACCTACTTTAGTATATTTTACTCTAAGAATTAATTGACTTATATAATACATTATTAAAATAATGAAAACTTGACCAGGAGCTAAGCTGTGTCACTTTTTTAAATAATTCAGACTAATGGCAACAGAAAATGTTAGTTTTTGTTACTCATCAAATTATCGACATTTTAATGTCAAAAATAACTTTCAATGAAAATACCTTAACAGATATGAGTTAGAGAGCGACAAACGGGCCTTTTGTGCTTTCCTTTGAATTTTTTTTTACGATTTGACCTTATAACATAAGTATCCTTCAATAGAACTGGACATTGACGAAAGTATTGATTTTCAGACGGGGTTGCCTTTATCGCTGGATACCTTAAACAAATTTACACTAGCTAAATATGTGACTGATAAACAATACACGCCGAAGTAGGAGCATAAACAAACAAACAAACAAACACAAAGGACTTAGGCTCATTGACGAGTATATACAGTGGAATCTATCAAAACCGGACACCTTCGGGACCGAATAATTTGGCCGGTTTGTAGAGAGTTCCGGATTGTAGAGAGTCATTTGTAATAATATTGTTGGAATTGGGACTTCAGGTTTTTTTTTACCGGATTAGGCAGATATCTGGATTGCAGAGAGTCCAGTTTAGACAGAGTTCACTATAACTCTTAAATTTGGACATATATGTGTATGTATGTTCAAATTTAAGAGTTTACATTTTCGTGGATATATCAATTCGTAAAAATCCAAACTGATCGAAAGAAAAGTCAAAATCTAGACGGGGAAGTGCACTAGCTCTATGTTTCTATAGATTTCGAAATTTTGATATATTAGATAATACCAGAACAACGTCAAGCACATGTGTATATTCAGAACAAATAAATTAAAGTGTGGCATGCAACCTGGCTCGGAATTTGAAAGAAGTCAGCCAGAAATTTCAACCACCTGCAAACTAGAATATTGTAAACATGTACAAAAGAGACACCAGTGAATAGCACCTTTTCATGCAAATTAGATACAGTAGAGCCAAACAAAGAAATAAACAACATCATACATGTGTTTCTTCCTTCAGTGACTCGTCAGTGATGCAAGGGGCCTTATCACCGTAGTTAAGGTAAACACGAACACAAATGATTATTGTGTACAAAGTGTCATCCTGAGTATTGTGTAATTATCTCGAGTTATCGTGTAGTTCAGTCTGCAGGACGCCTTAGTTTTTTTTCAGTAATCTGTGCTGATGTAACAGTATATCATATCTCCTTTATCTAATGCACATGGAATACTTCCTGATGGTTTGATATACAGGTAAAATCATTATCAATAGTTATACCATAACAGAAAAATCATAAAAAGAATTTTCCCAATAAATTATCGATCAACAGAAACGGCAAAAACTTGGTAGGGTTACATTTAAATGGTTTTCCATATATCGACAAGTAATCTTGACCTCAATGTGTCCCTGTAAAGATCTGTAGATTTAAGCTATATTTATAGATCTTCGAGGCTTTTTAAACCACTAATCTATGTAAACGTGTTGCCTATATTGTTTACCTATAGATCGCCTTTGTCTGTGTGTTGTACGAATGCCAAGTCTGAGTGCTTATACTTTTGTTTAATTTATCTATTATATAAATACATGTACTGTGTAATAGCTTGGTAATAAGGTGCATGTGACGTCACAAACAAGTTTATCTAATTAAAAATTTGGTTTTCAATTACTCAGTATTAAGTTTGACCAAATTAGGTCTGAATATACCGCGAGAAATTTTATGTAATCTTGTACCAACTGTATACCTGACTGTGTTCAAGTAATTTCGTTTAAACTAGAATGGATTCACATACATTGTACACACAGTTGTATATCAGCCGCTATTACACAATAACCATTATACACTCAAACGTTTAACCTGGAGTCAACTATATTTCAGTTTCGCCAGTGCGATTGACTGAGTTTATGTTCGTACAGTACGATTGACTGAGTTTATGTTCGTACAGTACGATAATTATTATGCTCTGAAAAATCATATTAATATTTTACCTATATTATCTAATGATAATGATGGTGATGATGTTGTGGTGGTGGTGGTGGTGATGGTGGTGGTCGTGGTGGTGGTGGTGATGATGATGGTGGTGGTGGTGGTGGTGATGGTGGTGGTGGTGGTGGTGGCGGTGATAATGATGGTGATGATTGGTGGAGGTGGTGGTAGTGGTGGTGGTGGTGGTGGTGATGATGATGATGATGATGGTGGTGGTGGTGGTGGTGATGGTGGTGGTGGTGGTGGTAATGGTGGTGGTGTTGCTGCTGCTGCTGTTGGTGGTGGTGGTGATGGTGGTGGTGATGGTGATGCTGGTGGTGGTGATGATGATGGTGGTGGTGGTGATGATGATGATGGTGGTGGTGGTGGTGATGGTGGTGGCGGTGATAATGATGGTGGTGGTGGTGGTGATGGTGGTGGTGGTAATGCTGGTGGTGGTAATGCTGGTGGTGGTGGTGGTGGTGATGCTGGTGGTGGTGTTGGTGATGATGGTGGTGGTGATGGTGATGCTGGTGGTGGTGATGGTGGTGGTGATGCTGCTGCTGTTGATGATGATGATGTTGATGATGATGATGATGATGATGATGATGATAATGATGATGATGATGATGATGATGATGATGATGATGATTTGGATATCAATAATTTCGGTTTTGTACAATACGTGCTGTCCTAGTCACAAATATATATATGCTGTGATTGGCGCCATTGTGCATGTGAATTAAGCAATTACCTATACATATCATTAGATTTCTTGTAATATTGAAATGTCTTTGTATTTGTCATATGATAGTCGTAACCTAATGTAGTATCCATCCCATTACATGTAATTTGGTTCAAAGCCAAACTCACGATACGTTTGAAATCACTTGAAGATTGTACATGTATATAAGACACACTATGGTCTATCTATACATAAAACATTACAATCTATGAATAGGAATCATTACATACACATACACAACAATCTATGGTCTATTATACAAAACAATCTATGGTCTATCATACACAATCTATGGTCTATTATACACAACAATCTATGGTCTATTATACACAGCAATCTATGGTCTATCATACACAACAATCTATGGTCTATCATACACAATCTATGGTCTATCATACACAACAATCTATGGTCTATTATACAAAACAATCTATGGTCTATCATACACAACAATCTATGGTCTATCATACACAACAATCTATGGTCTATTATACACAACAATCTATGGTCTATCATACACAACAATCTATGGTCTATCATACACAACAATCTATGG